ACGATGAGGGGTTTGACACAAGGCTAATTTTTGTCTTCTTCTTCAAGGAAGCAGAAGTAGGTGAAGTCAGTCTCAGTGGTGGTATGATGTCAAGTATCATGACTACCTTGACTGAGAGCAGCAGTGCAGACAGTGCTTTGGCTGTGTATAATGAACTGCAAACGAAGTACCCCTCATTTAATGTGGACTCTTATAAGGTTATTGATCTGTGCACACTCTTGGTGAAAAAGAAGAGAACTGAAGGTTGGTGATTTATCATGTGTAGTTAAGATGGCGATTAGTTGATATTACAGAAGGTTGGTGATTTATCATGTGTAGTTAAGATGGCGATTAGTTGATATTACTGATATTGGTGATTCATAAATTTAGATCTCGTTCATAGTTAAGATTATTTGAATAGAGTGAGAAGCAAAGTTTGCCAGCTCTAGTTGCCATTCACTAATCTACCAAGCTTGGGATCCAGTAGTAGATCTTCCTTGCAATTGAGGTGCAGGGTAAAGATGGCATTATAATGTCTATGTACCATTATACTATTCATACCACTATATTTTCTGGAGGTATAAATCTAACTCCGTCTTTGTAAAAGTATTGATAGTCAGCTTTTTAATGTCTTGCTGTTACTCATATTAGTTGCTAGTCACTGAGTAGGCATATTTAGAGGTAGAATGTAAATAAAGCCCAATAATATAGGAGTCAAGAAGCAAAAGTAGCAAAATCTTGACTGCCAGATTCAAATTTTTGTCCCAAACCATCAAAGCCGCTGGACCACTGAATGCTAGATTAGTGAGATTCATCAGTGCCATAAACTTTTATTAGCTTCATACTTGTTCTTGTAGGTATTACTGTAAAAGGTATACATGTTATATATAGATTTTTTTTTCATTATATCAGAGACTCCTAATATAACCCACCATTGATTTCAGATGCAGTTAATATCCTGAAAAGATATTTAGAAGAGTATTCCAAACCGCATGCTAAAAAAGCTATTAAAAGAAATTGCTGGAATCTTTTGATGGCAGCAGCAGAAAATCAGGATCATACAAATACAAAAAAAATATTTGACCTCCTTCAGACAAATCATGTAATTAATGTAGATGCAGTCATAGCAGGACCATTGATAAAAGCAAGACTTCGTAGGTAAGTACAATATGTGATAATCCTTTGTAAGTTAATGATGAAACAGGTTTGGACTAGAATGATTGAAAACCCCAATTATAGGCTTAACTAGGCCTAGTACTATTTTTATCATATTTATATAAACCTGACAATATCTGCACCAGTAAGCTTTTTTATATGGAGCTTTTAGACACATGATTGAATTCCATTTTTAAGTCCCCTTATTTGACATTTCATGTGTTTGTACTAGATTTTGAAGAAAGAGAAGTTAGAATGTGTTTATCTTCATAATCATTCTAATTATCTGTGGAATATCAGTGGCATATAAAACAAATAAAGAGGAGGATCACTTGTACTGAATGGCAGTTTAGTTTGTGCTGTAGTCTGTGCAAGATATCAGCTCTTTTTTTCATTCTGTCTTTCTCCGTTTCATCTTCTCATATAATTATATCCAGAGTTTGTTGGTCTCTCAGCTTAGTGTTTATTTATTTCAGTGGTGATCTAGCAGGGGCAGTGAAAGAGGCTGAATATCTGTGGAAAGAGTACAAGTGTTTACCAATGAGGATTGAAATTCTCGTCCAGCTGACTCTTCAATCAAAGCAAGGTGGTACGAGGTATGTGATTTTTTAAATTTTTATTTATTTATTTATCTATTTATTTATTCATTTATTTATTCATTTATTCATTTATTTATTTTATTTATTTACTTTTATTTATTTATTTATTTATTCATTTATTTATTTATTTACTCATTTATTTATTTATTAGACGGCATGGTGCATGGGTTTATGGATGAAAATAATTTTCTTTTTTCTCTCTTTTTTTCTTTTTTTCAATAGAAAATGATAGAAGAAAATCTGTGCATGGGTTGAAGTTTAACTACTTGTCAGTGTTTTAGATCAAGGTCAGTGTCATAGTTCTAGATGCTGTGTCATGGATGTTGGCATTGTTGGTCTGAGGATATCTTAGTTTATTATTGATGACTTTCCCCATAAACCTTAAAGCCAAGTATCTCCTCAATTCTGTAGAAATCCTGAGACCACTTTTTTGTTACCACAGAACCAGAGGATAAAATTAGGTTTACTTTTTGTCTAAGGTTGAAGAAAGACAGTTTGTCTCATGGGAAGTGGAGCTAACGGAATTGTTTCTTGAATTCGGTAAAAGTATTTTAATTCTTCACATAACATGTCAAATCTGAATTAGAATGAGACTGTTCCAAATAAAAAGAACAAATACTAAATCATCTCTTAATTTCAGCATCATCATTTAACTAAATTATCAACTTTCATGGTTTCAGATCAAAGGAGAATGACAATCTTATGCAGTCCATGTTGGATATGATTGTCACGTCAAAGGGCTCTCTTCAAGCTCACCACGACTTGCTGTTTGCTTGCCTGGAAGCGGGACAACCATCAGATGCTAAGAAAGTGCTACAGGTATGTTAAATCAGTTTGGGAATATGAAGAAATTTGCACTATAGGTATCAGTCATTATGGGAGGGCATTTGTAGAATGGCTAGTTATGCATATATTGATGATGGATCAATTTTCTAGTGGCTTTTTAAGTTGAATTTAAGATGAATATTTCATGTGCACAGGCACTCGCTTACTCACACTTGCACTTACATTCACACTTTTACCCAGAAAAGTAGACATGTAATCAGATAAATGCATGTATCATATTACATATTGTATCACATGAAAGATAAAGAATATAGGAAATTTGTCATCTAAATCCCAAGTCAGGCATCTTGATCTGCCAGTGACAACTTGGCATCTTCCTGATTTGGGTACATGTTCACAAGTAGTTTTTTAATCATCAACTCTGAGAATTGATGATAGACATGGCATTGTTTCTTGCTCCAGAACATGGGCAGAAATGTGAACATGCAGTTGGTGGAGCGCCAGTGCGACCGATATGCCAAGACTGAAAAGGATGAACCGCTTCTGCACTTCCTCACTGCCTGTCGAGGAACTAATACCGTCGACCAGTACAAAATCTACAAAGCTCTCCTCAATCTGTACTGTAAGTTTTGGTTGTATAGTTGCAGAATATTGTCATGTGGAATCTATTTTTTTTTTTTTTTTTATTGTGCTGAAAATATATTTGTATACAGTATGTATTGGATAGATTTATACTGTAAAGTTATTAGTTTGAGTATTTTTTCTCATAATAGTTGATAGTAGTATTGAATACTTATACAATACATAACTCTTAATAACTCAAGTAATTCCTCATTATCTACAATTTCGCCATATAATAATAACCCCTCTCAAAGAATAACGACTGACCAACTTTATTACATGATGGAGAGCACTTGATTGACCTGCCATGGTATCCCACTCAAATCTTTCTCAAGGGATATTAACTAGCACAAATCATAAGCAAAATGTTATCCAGATCACTGTTGCCAAACAATCACATGCACAAGGAAAATCAATAACAAGATGTTATTACAATTGTTAGGATCAGATCGAACTTATACACAGGTGCTGTACACACCTCTCTTCTCAGATGTACAAAATTATGAACACCAGAAATGATTTGTTCATTCATCTCCTAAAAAAAGTGATATAGTACTTCTAGTGTTTATCTCCTTTTATAAGCATGAGAGATGAGGTATGTTCAACACTTTTGCACTGCTTGATGTGTGTGTGTGTGATCTGATGTTCATATCAGAGATAGGAGGACAAAGTTTCCATTTTGTGTTCAATAAGAATTTTAAAATGGTATCTTCATAATAGATTTCAATACATAATATCTTGATAAGTGATCACATCATATGTTATCATAACAGACTTTGTTATATAGGTATTCCAAAAATAGATTATAATATATAATATTCCCCAAAATAGAATTGTATTGCCAAAGACCCCAGTGATATTATCTGGCAGCGTCATCACTGTCGTCCCTTTTTCTCCGAGCAGATAAACAGAGCGCAGGTGAAAAGGGCCTCTTCCTCTGGACCATGATGCAAGAAGATGAAGTGACACCCACCCCCCCTTTCCTCTCTACTCTGGCCTCGCTTCTGGCTGCCAGTAATATCAAGATTCCTTTCACCGTTCAATAAGGATTTTTACTTTGCGCGTTATCATTATGATTTTTATTATTGTTATTGGTATTATTATTATGAATATTATTATTGTTATTATTTATATCTTTATTATTCTTATTCTTATTGTTATTGTTGTTGTTTTTGTTGTTGTTGCTGTCATTATTATTATTATTTATTAATGTTATTATTATTATTTTTTTATTAATATTATTATTTTTATTATTATTATTATTATTACTTTTATTGTTATTAATTTTTTATTATTATCATTATTTCATGTATTACAATAATATTTTCATGTTTCATAGCATGACTTTTTTTACTTATATAAATTTTCATTGTTTATTGAGTTTTATGCACAATATAATGAGAGAGGTCTCTTCAGTGACTGTTTATGTAAATATATGCAATAGATGTTTATAATGAAAGTTGTTGTTAATAAATTTGTGTCTGTACATTGTATATACAGATGTTTTCTAAAACTACGTCTTTCATTTGTCCAAAACAAAAATGAGTTTACTATACCTTTTCTAACTTTTCAGATTCAAGACAAGTAATATTTTAAATTTTCATTGTACATTACATTACACCTCTCACAGTCCTATTTGTAATCCTTTCAGAATGTATATTTGTAAGTCTGTATCTTTTTTGAAACACTTTTGAAAGAATGATCATCTCCCTAATTATGCACTCTAGTAACTACCATATATGGTCATGATATCAGTGACTATTTCAGTTTCTCTTCTATTTTTCTGAAATTTGGTAAGAGAGCAAGAGCTGGTCTTGCATAATTCTTAAATGGTAGGTGACTACGTGTCTGTGTATATAT